GCCAAGTGCTCCATCGCACAATTCACCAGCAACTCAACCCGCTAAAAGCCCGCAATCAACCATAAATTCTTTTTGTCCATCCCCATTTCATTTGATGTTGTGTTTTTCGTGTGGTATGCCTGTGGACTTTTATGTGAAAAACTCAAGTGAGGCTGCGAAGCCAACGCATTGTAAGTCGTCTTTTCACAGCATGATGTGCTTTGCATGTTGCGGAGATACATCATTTGGCGTATATAAACCTGGGAAGGGAAACGGAATGCTGGCGGAGATTTCCGGGAACTCCAGCCAGGGGAAGGAGAACCCGGAAACCAACCAGCAATCAAATTGCTAAGAAGAAACAATGATCTTGGCACTGAAAAGAAAGAAACCTTGGTACAGTTTGAAGAAAAGAAAAGCTTGCACCAACGCAAGCTAGATTACGAGGCAGCACGCAGGAAAATCTTTTGTGAATCCATTGAAAATAAAAGAAAAAGTAGGAATTTTAAAAAGATAGAAAAAATGAGAGAGAAGAAAACGACATATATCAACTATAGTCACTGTAAAGGGAGACAATCGATTTTTCGCCCAGACAAATATTGGTGGTGTGGATGTTTTAGCTCTTCTAGACTCCGGTGCAGGGTCAAGTTGTTTAGGAAAAGACGTAGACAAATTGTTAGAAGGCAAAGCTGACCGTATCCTCCCGATGAGCAATCAAAGCATACGAACAGCGAATGGTGGAGAAACATCAGTAACCGGTGTAATCACGCTCCCAGTGATATGGGATGGTATTTCGAGAGATTTAGAGTTCCTTATAGTACCAGGCTTACAACAACAGGTTTATTTAGGAATTGATTTTTGGAAGGCCTTCGACATGTCTGTCGTTAGTAGGAAAACACCCTCGCGTCCAGTCAAAACTGCCGTTGCAGAGCTTGCACCCGCCGAAGGAGACCTGTCTTTTGATGCCATCCAACATATGTTGTCGCCTGAAGAAAGTGCAGCACTAGAAAGGGTCAAAGCGCAGTTCCCTTCCTTTGCAGTCTTAGGATTAGGCAAAACCGATATGGAAGAGCACATCATAGAGGTAGAGAATGAAAACCTTCCCATAAAGCAGCGCCACTACCCAATTTCGCCTGCGATTCAAAAATTAATATACCAAGAACTAGATAGGATGATCAGTATGGGGGTTATAGAGGAAAGCAATAGTAGCTGGAACTCACCCGTTTCTCTAGTCATAAAAGGTACGAAAACCCGTCTTTGCCTCGACGCCAGAAAGGTAAACGAGAGAACGGTAAAGGACGCATACCCACTGCCACACGTAGATGGGATCCTTAGTCGACTTCAAAACACTCGCTACATATCAGCAATAGAGGATGCTTTCTGGCAAATTCCTCTTGAAAAGAAGTCTAGAGAGAAGACGGCGTTCACAGTTCCAGGCAGACCTCTTTACCAATTTACTGTCATGCCGTTCGGACTGTGTAATGCAGCACAAAGAATGTGCAGACTCATGGACAAAGTGATACCGGCTTCGTTGCGTGAAAGTGTTTTTTGTGTATTTAGATGACTTGTTGGTGTGTTCCTTAGATTTTTCGTCCCATCTGTGTTTGTTGGAAAAGGTCGCTCGATGTTTACGAGAAGCAAAATTAACAATTAATGTGGAGAAAAGTAAATTTTGTTATAAAGAGGTTCGTTACCTTGGTTATGTGGTAGGAGATGGTTGAATACGCACGGATGCAAACAAGGTTGCAGCTGTGAGGGATTTCCCGGAGCCCAAAACTCCAAAGCAGCTTCGACGGTTCCTAGGTATGTCAGGCTGGTACCGTAGATTTATCCAAGATTACGCGACCATTGCAGCTCCGCTGCACGACTGTCTCACTAAAGAAAAGATTAAAAAATTTACCATGACGGACGAAGCCAAGAAGTCGTTTGACCGATTGAAGCAAAGCCTCATATCGGCACCCGTACTGACGCATCGTGACTTTAATCGAAGGTTTTATGTACAGTGCGACGCCTCGACAGACGGAGTGGGTGGGGTTTTATTTCAACTTGACGACCAGAGCAACGAACGACCAATAGCCTATATTTCAGCTAAACTCAATAAAGCACAACGAAACTACAGTATAACCGAACTTGAGTGCTACGCAGCCGTGATCAGCGTGAAGAGGTTCAGACCTTATATAGAAGGTATGCCGTTTACCATCAGCACTGATCACGCCAGACTAAAATGGCTGATGAATCAGACAGACCTTTCGGGCAGGCTGGCAAGATGGAGTTTGAAGCTACAAAGTTATGATTTTGATATTCAGCACAGGAAGGGTGCCCAAAATATCGTGCCCGACACGCTATCACGGTACACATGGAAGAAATCACAACAAATGAAAGACTCATGGATATTTGCTTAGACTCGCCTTATTTTGACTCAGATGAATACAACGAACTGAAAAGGACTGTGACCGAGAACAAGGATCAACTACCAGACTGCTGCGTATCAGATGGCTATTATATAGACGTACTCAATTTAACAGGGGGGACCAGCTTCAAGAGGACCAGACCTGGAAACTTTGGGTGCCGTCGGAGCTGCGACAGGGTTTAATGGAGGCCTCTAACAGCTCACCTTCCGCTGGCCATGGCGGGATCCACAAGACGATTGCACGAATCCGCGAAAAGTATTACTGGCCAGGGATGGTTTCAGACATTCAGGCATGTGTTAAAAGCTGCGAAATATGTAAAAGTAATAAGACCCAAAACGCATTTCATAAACCAGCGATGGGAAATCAACACATAACCGAACGACCTTTCCAACGCTTGTATGTCGACTTTATGGGTCCGTACCCTCGTACTTGTGATGGCAATGTTTATGTTTTTGTTTGTCTTGACCATTTTTCTAAGTTTTTGTTTTTGAAGCCTATGAAAAGAGCCACT